AAACTGCGAGAAAATGCAGGGAAAAGAAAGTGTGTGTCAACTCGGGTCTCGCCTGTCCACCTCTGCACATCCAGACCCCTGGAACTCAGGCTCAGGGTGGATGGACCAAGTGTTTCTGCCCAGACAGCAAAGCCCTCATAAGACAGGAAAATGTAAAGCAGTCCGGTGGGCTCTCAGGTCACAGAGCATGAACACACAGGAGGTGACAGCTTTAAGTAGCATCCTCTTCTCGAACTCAACCACTTCTGCAAGGCCACCTCTGCAATGGCACCTGCAGTGGCACTAAAGCACCCAGTGCAAGGTCACTCAGTCACTTCTCTTAGGGGTCTCCATTTACCTATCTGGAGTACAAGCTTCCAGCTGGGGGGCCTCTGATTTGTCTCCAACCAAACAGCTCAGGAGCCTGGACTGTTAGGAAACACAGTCTCAGGGTGCCATTGGGGGCCTCCCAGCACCCCCTTAGGCCACCCAATGGACATGAGTGCCTCCCCTCATGCTCTGATTTCAGCCCTTTAGCAAATTCACAATGACTGCATTTCACAACAGAGAGCAAGGCTTAGTCAACACTTTCCTTGGCTGAAGACAAAAGTCCCGGCCAAAGAAAAATTCCCCTAAGTAGACACTTTCCACAACACCTCTCGCAGGCCAAGGGTGACACTAAATTGAGGCTTTTTCCCTTGACCTCCCTTTCCCAGGCATGTGCAGCTTGGTTTGCAAGAGTCACCCTTCTGTCCAGGGTCCTTCACTCATGCAATGCATCCCACAGTGGGGAGCACAGTGCTCGTCACTCTCACGGCTGATGGTTTCACAGTGTGAACAGGAATTTTTGGATGGATCTATTGGTTAAATTACAAATTTTAAAAAAGTCCCTTCAAAGGCATCTAACATTCCAAACTCCACATCTCCCAGAACTCAGCCTTGGGGAAACTGCGGCACAGAGAGAAGTTCCTATACTTAGAGTCGAAAGAAAAATCGGTGCCTGCCACTGCCTTGTTGCACTGACCTGAGGGAGGAACTGCACGTCTCTGGGCCTCAAGCTCCCCATCTTCAAAGTGAGGCTTGCAACAAAGAGGCATCTTGGGGTTTTCTAGTTTCAGAAGTCTGGGAAATCTGCAGTCGCATGGTTTTCTCTTCTATGAGACCTGCAGTCTCGATGAGTAACTCAAGAATATGTGAGTCTTGTGCCCAGAAATCCGTACAAAAACTCATAAATTAAGAGGAGCTGTACCTAGTGGATTCAGAGAAGCTGGTCTAGAGATATGGGTTCAACACTGCCTGTCCTTAACCGCATCTCTAGTGTCGGTGCCCCTGCCAGAGAAGCAGAAGAGAGCTGCTCAGGAGGTTTGGAAATCTGAAATTTCACTTTAGAATCATCTCATTGCGTGCTCTGAGAAACCAAGCCACCATTCTGTATGATGCACCAGAAATAAAGACAAGCTATTAACACAAAGTCACTTCCAGGATGCACCCATGAGTGGTCCGGGAGACCAGCCAGAAAAGTGGTACCAGATTCCAACAGGTATCCTGGGGATGCCCAGGACTGTAGATAACAAGCTCAGGGTTCCCCCCAGATGCTATGGTTTAGGCCTGAAGCATCTGCCCAAAGCCACCTCCTGTGTTCAGAGGTGACTGGATCCTGGGGTGCTGGGCTCATCAGTGGATCCATCCGTGGGTACATTTGTGGCTGACTGTGCTGTAAGAGCCAAGCCCTGGGTGGGGGTGGTTGCTGTGACCTGGAAGGGTGTGTTCCCGTGTGTGGCTCCCCCTTTGTCTCTCTGCTTCCTAACCTCCATGAGGTGACAGATGTCTACCACCATGACCTACCGCCACTTATTAGTGATTTTTTCTCATTTTTGAGACAAAATGTCTGACACCCAAAGTTAAAGAGGAAAAGATTTGTTTGGATCACAGTTTATAGGGGTTTCTGTCCATAATCAACTGGGTCCAACACAGAGCCATGGCAGACAGGCATTGCAGAGGATAAACTGTCCATGGCAGACGGAAGACAGCAAAAGCAAGAAAGACACAAGTGACAATAACAGCTTCTCTCTGTCCTTTATTTAGGCTGCTTTGCTTAGGGTTGTGCTACAAAGAAGGGGCTGGTCTGGGAAAGCCCTGGTCACCCAGGATAAAACAATGCAGGAAGAACAGGACTGTGGCTGGAGCATCATTGCTGCTGAGATAGGAGCTTGCTAAAGTTCAGGCTGGCCTTGAACTCACTCTACAGCCCAGACTGACCTCAAACTTAGTGATCCTCCTGCCTCAGCCTCCCAAGTCCTGGGGTTACAGGTATGGCCATCACACCTGGCTGTGCTCTGAGTTTTAAATAAGTTCAGGTGTGCAAATTACTTAAAATAGACCTCAACATTATGATCATCATTGCTCTCACTGTCATTCTTTATATATTACTATCAGAAATGTCCCGAGAAGTATAAATAATTTATATGTTTTTAAATCAGTCACTGGCAAGGGACACAAGCGCCTCATCAATGCGGCCATGCTTTCATTCCATCCAAACTCGGGGGCAGTGGGTGTGTGGCGGAGAGAAGGCAGGATGCACCTGCAGGCTCTGGGTGGAAACTTCTAGAGAAATGGGTGACAATCATTTCCTACCATCCCTTTGCCTGCCTCAGAGCTAAGAAGAGTGGACAAGCAAGGTAGATGCTTTGTGAGCAGAAAGGACAGAGAGTCTCCACCCTAGATGCCCCAGCAAATCCCTGGGAATGGCATGGTCACATCACTGAATGACACTGGGCTGTCAGTTTCTCATGCAAAGCACGACAGGACTCCAACTCCAGATGGTATGAAGGACAGGAACCCAGCCTATCCCGGGTGATGACCTGGAGTGCCATAGGGTCGACCAGCAGGCTGAACTGTATGGACAGGACCAGGAAAGATTTGCTTTGGCTCCCATAGGAAGCAGAGCAGGTGGCCCAGGCACTCAGGTGTGCCCACCCTGGGGCCTAAAGAAACCTCCCAGCCAGCCTGGTTACAGACCATGGAGAGAAGAGGTTACTGTGGAGACTCAAGGTGAACAGGAGGGACAGACCCTCTTTCTGACCCCTTCCTGTGGATGCCCCCGAACAGCTAATGGAAGTGAAGCCAGAAGCAGATTTAGGCCTGCCGGGATCGGGCGTTCAAAGTCCTGCTGGCCAAGAGGGCAGTATATGGGACCATCAAGGAAGTGGCACTTTGATGACTTTATCCAGTGATTTTCTAGGATTAACAAGATGCTTTTTGCTTCAAACAAACCCAATGGCCTTGTGCCTTGCTGTTGTCCACGTAGATCAGTTACAAAGACAACTCCCCAAGGTAACCAGGACCTGGGAGTCTCTTCCGATTGTCCTTCCGAACCCTTTGATGTTTGTCCTTCCCTCTCTGAGGTACAGTTTTGGGGGCTCAGTTGATAGATGATCAGCTAGATTTCAAAGTAATTTCTTTTGAAAATGATTTCCTTCAAAAACAGACAATTTATTTTTAGGTACTGGGGATGGGACCCAGGGTCTTGGCGCAGAGATACTCCACATCCCTTCTCTTATTTTTTATTTTGAGACAGGATCTCACTAAGTCACTAATTGCCCAGGCTGAGCTCCAATTTGCAGCCCTCCTGTCTCAGCTTCCCAGAAAACTGGGATTCTAGGCATGCACCACCACATCCGTTCATTTTTTAAGCAGTGAGTTTGATCACCAGCCGTTGGGGTCCTCCCACACTACCTGCTGAAATTCGAACCCCAACCCCCACCAGGCTTCCTGCCAAGCGCCCTCCCTGCCACCTCCCCGGACCCCCAGCTCATTGCATCTGGCTACACCTGGACTTTCTCTGTCTTTCGCAGTGAGCTGGCTCATCCAGCCCTTCCAAACACCGCTTGGGCTCGACTTCTGGTGGCAGGTTTTCCCTGGCCTCTCTTTTGTGCTGGCTTGAGCCACTGGGGCATCCAGTCAACTGGGCGGAGACACTGGCCCATCAGGGGCAGCACTGGTCTGAGCCCTGGGCCTGGTGCTCTGTGGACAGGTCACACTACCCTGCCAGGCCGCCTCCCCACCCTGTGAAATGTGGATGAGCACAGCTCCCAGGGATAATTGGGAGGCCAAGCAGTATTTGCATCTTAAACAATGGGAGCTGTGGTGACCTTGAGGCTGATCTTGTACTGCTGGCTGAGCCCAGCTGAGCACAGCCACAAAAGTGCAGTGGGCTCTGGGTACCAGAGGCTCTCCTGGAAGCAGAACCCCAAGTCCAAGCAGATGTGTGAAAGGCTGGAGAGCACAAGGCACCAGCTGCTGAGGGCACAGGGCTGGTCATGGGCCCCCCAGCTCAGGGAGTGGGAAAGGGCCGTGGAGCTGGGGGTGCCCACACAGAGCCAGCTGGAGGAGCAGACACAGGGCCAGATGGCCAGGGTCCACTCTGACATTCCTCCTGGACCCCTAGCTCCATGCCATCACACTCTATGGTGTGACAAAGCACTCGCCCCGAGCAGCTCACTCCTGGAGACCAATCCCAGAGCAAGGCCAGTGGGGTCATCATTGGGTAACGGCTTTTATCCAGACAGGCAGAAGCCACCTCCATCCCACGTCTGTGGTGGGTGCCTGTAGGAAGAGTGGCCTTGTGCCTCTTCTCAGGACATAGATCCTATTGGACACGCCAGGTGTGTTAGTGATCGCAGCCCTTGGGAGGCTAAGGCAGGAGGATCACTGTGGATTTATACAGTGAGTTCGAGTCCAGACTGAACTATGGAATGAGATCCTGTCTGCTATACATAAATGAATAATCAATCCTATTGAACAGGGAACTATCCTAAGACCTCATTCGCCCCTATTATCTGCTAAGAGGCTGCATCTTCCACACAACTGGCTAGGAGAATGGGGGGCGCTAACACTCAGCCCCCTATCCCCATGCCTCCACCCCTCCCCTGCCCTGAGTCTACACCCCGGCTGGACAGCTCCCCTCCCCCACACTTCAGTGTGAAAGCGCAGAAGGGGAAACGGTCACTCCAGCACCCCAGCTTCGCATGCTGCTCTGGGCTCGGATGCTGACCACCTGTGTGGTGGCTGCATCTGAAACCTGGGACTTCGCTTCTTCAATGGGGACCTTATTAATGGCTCACTTCCTCTTGATAAACCATGAGGGGGACCGTCCAGTGCTGGCCTCTGAGCCAAAAGTCCCCTCTCTGGGGTCTGTCTCTGCCTTGGGTACTCAGAGTTTTCCAGCCAGCTCCATTTTCCATCAAGTAATTATTTACAAATCAGATTCCCAGGGAATACATGACTGAGAATTTTTTTCAATAAAAGGGTTAGCAAATGACTGGTGTCATTGGAAATTCAGGGGCCTATCACCATGCCTACCAGTGACCAGGAACAGGTGACAACCCTGTCTCCAAGATGGGACCTGAAAATCCCCCGCCTCCAGGCACTGCTCCCAGATCACTGGACTCAGGCAGGATCTCACAAAACACTGATGTTTCTCAACTGAAAATGTGTGGTAAAAGGGGAAAGTATTTATCTGTGGTTCTGTGAAAGCTATACTAACTACTGGGTTCCTTCCTCTTTGCAGGAACTTGTTCTGGACATAGCCAGTGAGATGTCTTCAGATAACCACCTCCACCCTCTCTCGGCCAGAACTTGATGTCCAGCTGAGAAGTCCACACTATCAGCCACTCTTTCTCAAGGCGTGGCCCACACAGCCCTGGCTGTCCCCAGCGTGGGCACAGGGTGGGGTGTCAAGGGACACTTCCAGAAAGGCTGCCTGATGAAAGCAGAAGGGAAGGAGCAGGACCTCCTTTTTCTCTTCCTCTTTTCTGCCTTCTGGAATACGGATGTGATGTCTGGGGTGCCCACAGAGAGCTCGGTCATGCAGGGACTTCAGGGTTTTGGCAAGCACCATCACACTGGGACAGCAGAGGAGGCCAGGCATGGGTGACCACAGAAGCCACTGGGGCTATGCCAGCCTGAGGAGGCCTGGGGTGGCAGCCACACCTCATCCTTCCCAATGTCACAAGTTCTCTTCAGGGACCAGCACGGACCCCCAGACGTAGGGTTTATATAACAATGCCCTGTTTGTTATTCTTTGATTGCTTCACTCACAAATTACCCTGCAGTTCTGCTCACTAAGTTTCCAGCAGTCCTGCCTGTCCTGTAGGCTTCCTGCCCTGGCTTAAGGTGTAAAACTCAACCCCTTACATTGCTAAGACCCGAGGCATTGTTTTCTAAGCAGAGTGGAGGCATCAGGCTGGGTGGGTCTGGTTTTTCCCTCTCTTGAAGTCCTCAGGCGTGACATTTGGAAGAGGTGGCTGAGAAGGGAAAACGTGTACATGTACGACTGCCTGTGGGTGTGCATACACATACGTGTACATGAGCACATGGCATGCGCCCATGTGTGATCATGTATCATACACACTTCATGTGTGCATACATGGGTGTGTGAGCCTGTGTATGCATGAGCTCTCGTGCACGTAGAGATACAGGAGAGCGCAGAAGGAAAAAGCCGGAAGCAGAACAAGTGTGAGACCGCAGATAAATGCACGCAGAAAAGCATTTCCTCCTCAGCTCCGTGACTCACATCAGCATCCAGGCACTGAGTTATCCGCTCTCAGGAGCTGTTAGAACTCTAACCATAGCAGCAAAAAAACTTAGTAGGCTGGCACAACTCCATAGGATTTTATCATTTTTGATGAAAACAGAATGTTAAGTATAAAGCTGAACGTGAGTGAGTCTTTATGCTTCTGTCTCTCCACACAGCTTCAGAGATCACTAAACTCCACTTTCTTATGATGGATGCAGGTTCCCATGTGACAAGGACCATTTCAGGACACAGCTAGCCAATTCCACAGAACCCCAAGCAAATGGGAATCTCCCAGAGGAAATTTTTTTTTTTTTTTTTTTTTTTTTTTGCTTTTTTGAGGCTTGGTCTTTGTTTGAATTTCAGGCTGACCTTAAACTCACTATATAGCCTGGGTTGGTCTCATATTTGCAGCAATCTTCCTGCCTCAGCTAGAATTTTTTTTTTTTTTTACTAGAATTACAGGTATGCACTACCACTCCTGGCTAAAAGCCATTTGTGAAATGTTGCAATGCACTTATTACTAAACTCATATATTGCATAGTAATATGCATAAATAATATGTATGTTATTTGACGTTTTGTTCGCTTGTTTGTTTGTATCTTTTTGAGGAAGAGTCTCACTGTGCAGTTCAGGCTGGCCTTGAGCTCACTTTGTAGCCCAGGGTGGCAGCAAACTCACAGCAGTCCTCCTGCCTCAGCCTCCTGTGTGCTGGGATTGCAGGTGAGCACCACCACACCTGACCTTAGTTATGTTCTTTAAAATAAAAATCAATACTTCATGGCTAGAATAAGACCTACTAAAACGTGCGTGGTGTGTAGCTCAGAACCATGGTCGGTAATGACATGAGTGTCACACTGAAACCCACTCACTTTCAAGATTGAGTCAGCGGTCGCTGCCTGGGAGTGCAGAACCCAGGTTCTTTTTTTCTTTTTTCCCCAAAAAACCAAAATGATAATAATTCATCTAGGCAGCTGCTGCTCCTTACACAACCTCCCCGCACGCCCAGAACGCGCTGGCGTCACCCAACCCTAGCGCACCCCGTGTGGCAGGGCGGCTCCCTTCCTGTGTCCCCGCGATCTGGGCAAGTTCCCATCTATTAGCTGAATTATTCAGATGTTTTCCCACAGTGGCGCTAGCTGTGCTTGCATAACTAGTTTCTAAATCAACAGTGAGCTCCACTATTGACAATCTGAGCGATTAATTAAGAAATCTGTCACAAGCACTCGATGCAAGCTGGCTTCTCGTCAAGGCAGCCCCACAGTTGGCAGACCGGCAGCACCTATGGGAAAGCGCAAAGGGAGGGGGCGGCCTGAGCCCCCGGGCTGTCACCCCGAAGGGGTGGTGTGGGAGGAAGGTCACCCGAACACCCCAGCTGCAGCCTGGCGCCAGCGGGGAGCAGGGCTGCAGAACACACTGCACACGGCCCACATGGCAGGATGAGCCAGGCCTCGCTGCCTCCTGCACACAAACAGCAGCACCAGAAAGAGGCCCCCAGGTCCTTCGCGTTGGCTCTCAAAGACCTATGTCCCTTCATTTGTTTGTTTGTGGTGCTGGGGATTGAACCCAGGGTCTTCACACTGAGTTACATCTCCACCCCTTTTTTAATTTTTCATTTTGAGACAGGGTCTTGCTAAACCACTAATTTGCCCAGGTTGGGCTTGAACTTGAACCCTCCTGCCTCAGCCTCCCAGAGAGCTGGGATTATAAACAAGCACCACCAGGCCGGCCTACCTGTGCTATTTGAAGGTCTCAGTCCCCCCTGCCCAAAGAACAAAGTATTCCAGGAAAACCACTTTGTGCTAAGTAATGAAATGGCAACTTCTATATTCACCTATTTCTTCCTGATACTAAACTTTCATTTTTTTCAAAAAATGAAAACCCAGCACCAATGCAAATAAATTAATAGAACATAAAAAGCACACTATCAATGTTGTTTGATTTAACCCATCTTGTTTGAGAAAGCTCCTGAGTGCCCACCAGATTGGTCAGCACTGATTTCGCAGGCTTACAATGGGTCCCATCCAGGATCTAAATCCTGGAGCCCGGGACCCAGCTTTGAGCTCAGTCCTTCAGTAGCCCAGTGGCAGTGGTAGCCTGAGAAGATATAAGCCACACCTCACCCAGCTCTAGCCCACGGTGAAGATGAAGAAGGAAGTGTGTCCAGTGGAGGAAATGTGGGCGCCATGCCTGGTCCACCTGTCATCTCAAGTGTCTCCCCCAGGCCAGTGTCCTACATCCTTCACAGAAAATCCTTGCTCTGCTGACAACAGCCCAGGGAGGCTCTGAGGAGCTAATCTTTTCCCAAGTCACAGAGTACCTGATGGACAGGGCCTGGGGTTCCCGTGGTGACAGCTGCATCCGTGGGGAGCAGTCAAGGGTTGGAGGGAAGGGAAAGCATGGCATGGCCAAATCGACTGGGAGAAGCCTGGTGCCTTTGGGAGCCATGAGTCATCTAAGTCCAAACCAAGCCACAGTGATAGAACGGGACAGGAAGCGAAGGGGCCTGGCCAGTGGCCCCGGTAAGAGTCAGGCAGCACCGGTGCCTGATGGGAGAAGCTGGAAGCTGGCATCACCTCCTCGCTCTGCTCTGCTCACCTGCTCCAGGCTGTCACCACCAGCCCTGTTAAGCTCCCGGTCCTTCCGATTGGGAGACTGAAAGCAGAGGACTCTTCTCACAGGGACTCCAAATCCTGTGATACCGCCCAGCTCGGACAGGGCCCAGAGCACGTGAGCATGGAGGGTCCTGTGAGGCATTGTGACGTCAGGAGGCAGCCAGCTGTGCTGCCACTGCAGTCCTGGTGTGTGCACTCCATGATGGTCTCACCCTGACACACGCACAGAAACACACGGAGAAGAGCTCAAAGGCAAGGGTCATGCGTGGCTGAATGCCAGAAGCGGGAGTGACTGTTGTTCCCTTGTGATCCAGCTTTTCCAGTTCTCTCTAAGGGCCCCTGGTCATTTTGATAATGAGAAAGAAAAAAGTTACTTTTGACCAAATCGGCTGTCCGCACAATGAGTATCAGGAGGTCACAGCAGTGAAGCATTGTGGGAAACAAGGCCTTGCCATCCTCAGCCACTGAACTCAGGCAGGACAGTTTAGCCCGCCTCCCTTGATGAACTGAATCATGAGTTTTCTGTCCATTGGTTTTATTGATCTTTGTTTGTCTTCTTTTTGATTCGAGCTCTTTAAAATATAAGTTGGTTAAAGAAAAACATTAGCAGGGAGATAGACAGTAAGAAAATAGTTTTGCTCACAGCTTTCTTCCCAGGTTTGGTTTGGTTTGTTTCTTGCAGTACTAGGGATTCAGCCCAGTTATATACCTCCTTCATTATTATTATCATCATCATTTTGACACAAGGTCTTGCTAAGTTGCCCAGCCTGGGCTCGAACTTGCCACCCTCCTGCCTCAGCCTCCAAGAGTGCTGGGATCTTCCTGGTCTTGAGATGAATTATATCCCTCTTTCTTCTCAGGTTGAAGACGAAAATCTCAAGTCCATGCTGTCCATCTGGGGAAGGCTTTGGGATAGCCAAGAAAGGCTATGAGCATCAGTTTTTCCTGGGCCGCTGTCCTTGTCCCTAGCACTCCCGAGGCAACCACAGTTATTCCTCACAAGCTTAGCCACTTTCAGGAACACTATGACAGTCAGCTCAAATAACTCGAATCACATTTACATTAGATATGATTCCTATGCAAAGCTGCATGAAGCACTTCCCAAGCCCACACCCAAACCAAAGGTATGCAGTGCATACCATACACTCTCTTAACTGAGGACACACACTCACACATTCACAGACGCACAGGCAGCTGCACTCACCAGAACGGAGTCTTCAGGCAGGTCCTTAACCTTTAACCTCTGTGTTCACAGGGGGCTGCTGGTGGCCATGCCTCTTACTTTTCATTCAGAGGAATTCTGGGGTGCTCTGCTGGCTGAGAATGAGACCTCCTCTTTCCAGATGTAAGAAACATTATCCTGCCCACAGTTGTCAGGGATGCGTAGATACTAGAAACCCCAATTCACAGCCCGAGCAGCATTACTGGGCCCTGGATCCTGACCAGGACAAAGGGCTCAGCTGAGGAAGAGCTTGAGAACTCGATTAGTTAAACATCTGCCTCAGGTCAACACTGAATTCTCACTTAACAAAGTGCATCCCTGCTGTGGGAACATAGCACTCACAGCCACCCTCAGACTCTGGGATCCGCAGTGATTCCTCCCACCCAGCAGGATGTGATCAAACACAGCAGGGAAAAGGTCATCCATGTGACTGCTGGGTCCCTCTGTACTGCTGTGGTCAGTGGCAGAGCACGAGCTGCTTCCTCTTTGTGACGGCCCTGAATAAGACCTGTGATGCCAGTGAAGTACTATTCTGCTATAAAGTTAAGCTCAAATCGTTTGGAGGAGAACGGATGCACCTTGAGACCACTGTTAAGTGAACTAAACCAGACATGCAAGCATAAGCATTGCATGGTTTCTCTTCTATAACAAACCCAAAATACAAATAAATCAACGTGAAAAATATAGATAATAGGAAATAGGGAGACAAATTTTTTGCAAAAGGGAAGATCAAGAGATGGGAGAAGAGGGTGACATAAAAAAGAATTAAGGTGCGTTACTACATGCACCAGTGTCCTACAATGAAAGTGATCATTATGCACGGTAAACATGGAGTAATAAAAATAAAAATAAAGAAAAAAAAAGCCTTGGGATGTAACTCATAGCCTTGCCTGAGCCAGGAACTAACTCTCCCCTTGTGTTCACTAAATCAAGAGACCCTCAGCCATACACAGGCCCAAGACCTAGATCCATCAATACTACCAGCCACTAAGAATTTAAAGTTCTTTGTTACACAGCATTACCAGCTCAGTAGCAGACTAACGCATCGGCAGAACTAGTTCACTGTTTGCTTTAACTGAACATTGGTGCAATATTCAGCAGCAATATCAGAGGTTTGACCTCTGAAGAGAACTAAATTTTTGTCTTTTGTTTTTGTTTTTTTAAGATAAATTCTCACTATGTAGCCTGGGCTGGCCTTGAACTTGCAGCAAACCTCCTGCTTCAGCCTCTAGAGGACTGGGACTATAGTCCTCTGGCTGCACCACCAGTCCTGGCTGGGTCCATATTTTAAAAGATCTAAAAACCTACATGTGAAACAAATCCCCTCTCCAACCCTGACACAGGTATTCTCGTCTTCAGCAGAAAAGAATCTTCGTTCCTTCAAGCACTGCTGGTATTAGCAGCGTTTGCAGCCAACTCAAGAATTATTTAATCTCTGACTACTAGTGAAAAGATGAATGAATTTTCCCCTTCCAATTTCTTCAGATTTATTTATAATTTTCAAAATCATGTGTGAGCTGATGCTAATTCCTTCACTTCAATTGCTTAGTGACAGGGTCACAAATGGGTACATTTGGAATGCAAGACTCACGTGGGCATCAAGGAGTGAGAGACAGCCCTGGGCACCAGAGAGCAGGGGACCTCAGAGTATCACTGCCCCAGACCCTTGCTCCCTCCTCACCCACTAGCACAAGCCAGGATGTGGAAAGGGCGTGCCCATCTCTAACACTCTCACCTTGGGAATTAGTGAGCAGCTGGTTCCCCAGAGGCCAGGGAGAGTCCACCAGCCTGGTTTGAGCGCTCACTCACCCATGCCTCACATCTCAGAGAAACGACTAAGTGTGGTGGTGCATGCCTGGAATCCCAACATTTGGGAGACTGAGGCAGGAGGATTGCCATGCGTTGGAGGCCAGTCTGGGCTACAGAGAAAGACTGTCTCAAACACAGGCACATACACATAGAGAGAGAGAGAAGAAAAAAAAAACCCTTAAACAAACAGACAAACATATCTGAGGGAAACAGACAAACTTTTTTGCTGGCTTCTCCTGGCCCTTGCTGAGCACTTCCCCTTGCAATCTTGGCCCCAAAGGGGCCTTATTCCCTGAAGAACAGCACCCCACCTGGGACAGAGGGGCCCTGCCCTGAGTCCTGCACCTGTGGGGGAGTCAGTCCACGGCACACGTTTTCCCAAGGGACCACAACTCAGCTGCCCAGGAACCCGGACTCCTACCTGGATGTCACCTATAGGACCACCCAACTCCAGCAAGGCCAGATCCTGCCTCGTGGGGACAGCCGGATGGGTCACAGGGGTTGTAGGGGCCACAAGCCAGCCTTCCCCACTTGCACACAGGAGAGGGCTCTGGGAGGCCAGGTTGTGCATCTTGGCCCCAAGGAATAGAAAACCCGGTTCACCCAATAACCCGCAGATGCGCGTGCAATGACTTGAGCACCAGGCCCTGTGACCTCTGGCAACCAGGAGGGACTCGGGCTCAGGCTTCTCAGCTGTGACAAAGGCAAAGCAGGGAAAACAAAGGGGATGCTGGGAAACGGGGACAGAACTTTGCAGAAGGGAGTGGAACAGCCACTGGAGGGCGGGGCGGGGAAGCGGGAAGACTCGGGATTTGCTCCACGCCTGCGCTGAGCCCTCGCGGTGCAACCACGGAGCACAGCAAAGTTGGACTTCTGCAGACAAAACACAAGAACGTGGGAGCCCTTCCCTGTGGGCACTGCTGGCCTGGGCAGTGCACGGTCGGGCCCACATCTTCCTTCTAGAACCCTCCAGCCCCTTTCTAGAACTCTACACGTGAGGCCACGGTAGATGTCCCTATGACCTTGGGGAAGGGCAGGGCCTCTCCTGCTGGGCTGGCTCTGAGCACAGCAAAGGCCCAGGAGAGGCTGCGAACAGCCTCTGTGGTGACCTAACTCCTAGTGATCAGCTGGGACCCCACCCACAGCCTGCTGGGCCGGGCTGGGATCTCGAGCAAGCCCCTCCCGTCCGCGTGGGCCAGCAGTGCGATGACCACTTCCTGGGGTGCAGAGTAGGGGGGAGCTGACAGCAGAGGAAAAGCAGACAGATCGAACGCCACCCACAGAGATAAACCGGCCGCGATGACAATGACGGCTTTAAAAAAAAATTGATAAACAGGAAAGGAGTTCTGGTTTCAGAACTCAGCCAATTTCCTTGCGGCCGCGTATCTAGGCTGTGCATCGGAGACAACAAAAATAATCCCGGGCACAGACGGGAGATGGGATATTTCTATACCCCGCGCAGGGCAAGCTTGGCTCGCTCCCAGGCGTGAAGAATTCTGCGGTTCCTCCTTTTTAAGTAGAAATAAATAAAATAAAGCTGTTCAACCCCTATGGTGGGTGCCAGCAAATGTCACCGAGCAGGAGGTGGGCGGTGGTGTGAACACTCCCGCAGGCCCGCGGCTGCCCTGTGCAGCGTGCAGCTGGAGCTCGGTGCAGGTGTGCTGCGTGGCGGGGTGGGGCCGCAGAGAGGCTCCAGACGCCCACCAAGGCCGAAACCCTGCCCACGCCAGGGCCCAGAGCCAATCCGATTAGGCTACAGCTCCAAACGCGCAGTTAGGAGGGGGTAGGACTTCCTAGAGGACCCGGAAACCTCCTGAGTTCGGATCCCGCTTGGGATAGATGGCCTGGGAGTCCCAGTTTGTCATCAGACTGTTAGGGCTTGGGTCCAAACGTCTCCCAGAAGTCTCCTGCATGCCAAGGGTGACAGGACCGTGGGACACTGTGCTCATCAGTGGATTTGGATTTTAAAAACACAGCAAGTGGCCATCGTGGGTGCTTTGAGTTGCTCGCCCCCCACCCGCACCAGATGCCACGCCTTGAAGACAAATTTTCCAGAGCTGGATGGATGATTAGTATTGGGCCTGCAGGGGGTGTGTCTTAGAATGGCACAGACTCTTTTCAGATGCACAGATGTAGTTAACAATGCAAGATGCTGAAGGTTACCACCCTTGCCACTGCCTGAGAAAGGAGCCAGGTGCTTGTTGGTGGCACACACCTGTCATCTCGACTCTTGAGGAGGCTGAAGCAGGAGGATCACATGTTTGAGCCCAGCCTTGGTAACTTCGTGATACACAAAGACACTGCCTCAAAATTTAAAAGAAAATTTTTTTAAAAAGACCGGAGACATCAAGCTGTGCAGAGGCCCTGGATTCAACCTGTTACTGCCAAAAATAATAACAAGAGAACTTTAAAACTTTTAAACGGCTTGTGCACGGAAGGCCAGTGGGGGTTCCAGGGTTCCCATGAAGGCAACTGTGAGAACTGAACCTGCTCTTGTGCCACCAGTGGGAACCCTCACCTGCCACTTGTCAGCTGGCTGTGAGGCCACAGCTAAAAATACCCTCCTTGACCTTGGTTTCCGCTGTGAAATGAGGGTGCTTTTGAGAACTCTGAGGTCGCCGAGGCGTTAGTGAATTAACAGTGCTCTAACGCACAGCAGGTATCCCATCCCACCAGGCTGTGACCTTAGGGTGTTCCCTGTGCTTGACGAGATTCACAGGCTCAATAGAAGTGGTGGCACATGCCTGTCATCCCAGCACTCGGGAGGCTGAGGCAGGAGGATCACTGTGAGTTCCAGGTCAGCCTGGGCTACACAGTGAGATCCTGTCTCAGACAGCAAACACACAGAGCGAGTCTGGCTGGAGCTCTAAACAGAGGGAGAGATGGCTGCCATCACACCACTCCTGCAACAGTGCACAGCCAGCTTGCCTGTGGCAACACAGTGTCATAAAGGCCCCAGACAGCTGAGGCTTTGGCCCAGTGCGCTGGCCCAGTGCTCTGGGTGGCGCATAAATGATACATGAAGAGCAGGGCTGGCCGCAAACCACGGAATGCCAGCCCCAGCTGTGTGGGCATCCCCTCCCTTCCCAGAACACTGTGCTCCTGCCTGTCCCCCAGCACCTCACCCCTGCACACCCGTCTCAGCTGGAGCATTCGGCATGTCCCAGCAGGCCGGCTCCAGGCCATGGCAACGAAGGACACGCATCTCGAGGTGAAGCATCCAGCAGACCTCGGGCGGCCAGACGCATTCTGTCCACAGCACCTTGAGCCAAGAGGGCAGAGGGCAGGATGCTGGGGCCACAGTGCCACCTGGGGAGCCCCGCACAGGCTCCCCCACACGCAGCCAGGGACGGCAACCTCGGTTCTCTGTCCCGAGGAGGAGTGGGCCAGGGAGCAAAGAGCCACTTGCACCTTGCCCTCTGCCCAATCTTGCCTTTCCAGCAATTTTCATCTGAGAACCAAGGAGAGGAGCTGGGATTGTGTGCAGTGTGGGAGTCGAAGGCAGGGAAATACCCCAGCTTCCCCACTGCAGGTGATCTGTGCACAGCCATCTCTGACCCCGTGCAAACGCCCAGGATCCGCTAGGCAATCTGGCAGGAAAACCACTAGATGATTTGTGGATCTGCTGGGTGATCCTTCAAAGCCCTTTACACTTATGATCACCGACTCCTCTGCCACTACAGCAGCTGCAGGTTCCTGAGCAAATCACTGAAACCCTCCTGCTTCAGCCTGCCCTCCCGTAAGGTGGGGAGAAGAGTCTCTACCTGACGGGGTTGCAGTGAAGACTATAAGTGAGTTAAATGCTAAGGTACTTTACAAAGGACCAACATGCAGGAGCCTGCATGGTTTGCTGCTATTTGTTATGAAACACTAATTTAATAATAATAATAACATTCATTATTATTTGTTAGTATTTTCAATACTAGTTCCAAGCTAAAATAAAAGGCTTCTAAGTAAGTGCTGCAGAAATTACCCAGGTGTGGTGGTCCATGCCTGCCATCCTGGCATTCCGGAGGCTGAAGTAGGAGGATCACCATGAATTTGAGGCCAGCCTGGAATACATAGTGAGTTCAAGATCAGCCTGGCCTATAACTGTCTCAGACCCTGTCTCGGAACCTCCTCAAGTAAACTACAGAAACTATTAATACAATTATTATTATTAATCATCATGGGGCCTAGGAAAAACAGGTATAAATGACAAGAGCATAAATAATAATATGTTATTTATCTACAGGATAACATAGTTATCTTACAAGAATCCTACCCATAAAGAATACTGAGAAAGATAAAAACTATTTCTCAAAATATCTGCTTCTGTGCTCGCTGCCTATCTGTAACTATTTGGGGTAAAATGATGTCACTTATCAAATAATCCAACAGATACGAAAGTCTGGAAGTTATTTGCAAACTTCACAGTCAGGTCACACGAGATAAATTTGCCATGAGCCAATCCAGCGGGACATTTCTGCTGGCCCTGAAATGCTTCACCAATTATTAAAAATGTTCTTTTGTTCCTATTTCTCTTTGCCACCAGCATGAAGGAAAGGAAAGTAGGTCACGCGCTCAGCAGAATGAAAGAGGCTACGAAGCACGGGGCGGGAAGAAGTCTTCTGACCACTGCTGTGGCCTCAAAGACCCCAGCGATAAAACAGCAGAAAGCAGGTGAAGTGGACAACCAGTGTTCGAGGCTCAGCTTGGCGAGGCTCTGCCACCCAGGGGACCGCGGAGGCCGGGCACGTCCAGCAGGCAGCTGCAGCACAAGGCTAGAGATGGCTGCCAGCACCCCGCGTAGTCTGCGGCCTCCTAGGCGGCCTGCAGGCCCACGGCCTTCCATGCCTTCCATGCCCAGGGCTGCACACCCTGGACCCCCCTCCAAGAGGCCCAGAGCCCATCTGACCCACACCCAGCATAGCAGGAACCAGTTCACATGGCAGGGACAGCCCGCTCAAGAGTAAGTCCTCTCCACGCCACCAGCTCAGCCAAATCCCAGTCTCATGGGTCAGCAGGTCCATGATCTCACCCAGATCTCAGGATCCCTCTGCACACTTGAAATCTGAGAACTCCCTTGAGCCAGGCATGGTGGTGCATGCCTATAATCCTAGCTCTCAGGAGGCTGAGGCAAGAAGCTCTCCTCAAGTTTGAGGCAGGCCTGGACAACACAAGACATTATATTCAAAAAAAACTAAATAAACACATAAATAAAATTCCAGAGCAAATTGACATTGTACCCAAATCCTGGCAAGTGTACATGCTTCCACAGGGCTGGCCCCACCCCCGGCTGCCGTCCTCGGGCCCCATGTGGCCCTGACACACAGAGGCATCCACTGCACATTCATTAAATCCACTATTAAGGATCTAAGCAGAAAACACACATAGGTATGTGGTCTTTTATTCCAATGTGTTATAAAATGCATTAGGACTGCACCAAAGATGAACAGTAATAATTATTGATCTACAAGAACAGCAGGAGGGTTATAAGGGCTCAGGTAGAGCTTGCTTTCTCCTTTAGACATTTCATTTGCTATCATCACCCTCTACCATCACCATCATCATCGGACCTCCTCCACTGAGCACCACCCATGCTGCCCGTTTCTAACCTATCTGCAATGGCAGGTGCTGCTCGCTGGCCGCTCTGAACTTTCTTCACCAAACAGCAGCAAACGCTCAATGTCGGGGGACTTACGGGACTAACACTCACAACCCCACACTGTGAACGCATACATGCGTGTAATCTCGCCGCGCTCCAGCAAGAGCCCCGAAAGCAGCCCAGGTGGACCAGCACAGAGAGAACGGGTGACACCAAGGCCACAGGAAGGGAAGGGACAAGGCCTGGTCACCCTCCTCATCTCGAAAGGCAGACATGGGTCGCTGGGAATCCAAGTTAGCTGTGAGGGGAGGTGGAGGACGCTCCTGTGCACCCCCAGGGATGTGCCGGGGAGTAGCTGTGAAAGTAGGAAGAAAGTCAGCAGGGCTTACAGATAACATGGGGAGACAGAGGAGAAGGGGGGGAGGGGGAGGGGAGGGGGAGGGGAGGGGAGGGGAGGGGGAGGGAAGGGAGGGGGAGGGCAGGGGAGGGGAGGGGAGGGCAGGGGAGGGGAGGGCAGGGGAGGGGAGGGGAAAGGAAGGCAGAGGAGGGAGAAAGGGAAAGAGAAAGGGAGGAGAGAGAGGAAAGCAAGGAAGGAAGGAAGAAAAGAAAAGGAAGAAAAGGGAAAAAGAAGAAAAAATGAGAGAGAAGGTGGGGGGGCAGAAAGGAAAACTCCCGCGCCCGCCCACGCCCCATGCTGTGCCCCCCCCCAGCCTGCTTCCTCTCTGGCGGGGCCAGTGGCGCCACAGGCCCCCTGCTCCCCACATCCTGCCCACACGCGCTTGTCTGTCCCTCCTCACGCTCTCGCAATGAGCCACCAGTGTCTTCTCCCTACACCTCTACCTCTGTCCTAGCCAGCCCTTGGGGAACCATCACCTGCTGTCACCCGGCAGCACAGAGGCCTGAGCTTGGGGACAGCACAGTGGACTCCAGCCGCCCTCGTAGCCGTACTCTAGGTGTAGGGATGCACAGATGATAAACGAGGAACCGAACCTGAGGAGATGTTCAGGGGCGACGTGTACCCTAGACACACGTCCTCTCGCACTATCGGGGGCCACGGTGGTGGCAGTGACAGCTCACGGGAGGTGAGATGACAGAAATGCTGCAGGCTGGACACGAGCTCGGTGTGTTCAAAGAGCTGAAATAAGTAAAAGGCAGTGGAAGGACAGCACTGAAAATACCCCAGGTGAAGAGGGAAGCGGGAGAGACAGGAGCCCGAGTCATGCGGGGCTTAACAAGACACAGTAAGAAGGCAGAAATTTACCCCAGGGGCCAAGGACTATTTTAAGCCATGTGGCAACAGAGTGATGCACCTTTTAGAGACCAGGCCTGGTGGCGCACCCGTGACGCCAGCACTTGGGAGGCTGAGGCAGGAGGACAGTCATGAGTTCGAGGCCAGCCTGGGCTGCTTAGAGACCCTGTCTCAAGGGAAAAAAAGTACATAACCTCCAAATTCTACCATTAATGGTGTTACTACACAGGGCACATGAAGTTAGAGGGGAAGCAGTGGGACGATTATTAAAAATCCATTTTTAATGGATTTCTGATTCTAGCAAAAAAAATAGCTCTAGGCGCATACTCAGCTTGGCATATATTAAAAATCTGTTTGGAAGTGAAACGTTTTTAAAGTACCATGGTTTTAATTAGTTTAGCATTTTAATTTTAAGAAAAGACGAGAAGCCTTAATAAGAAGCATTTTCCATTTGGGTGTTTAAATCTACACCATAATGTTACATTAAAATAGTTTCTGGTGTGTTAATTAATAATTATCTTAGGAATATTGCAAATGTGAAAGGCCACTGTGACTCACCCAGCCACATCTGAGCTCACTGCTTTTTAAAATTCTATTAATCCCTGCTACAAATGACAGGATCATTTCACTTCTTAAATGAGACATTTTTATTGCATGTCAGGTCTTTCATCTAAGTGAATTTATGGGCTGTGACAGGCTTTGAAATGCATTCTTATTTTTCAAAATGCATTTTGAAATATTTTTGCTTACTGCTAATCCGACCCGTGTTTACAATCCAAATAAACCTGGTTTCCCTTTCCCTGGTCTCTTTACAACAGTCTGAGAATGCAAACTAGGGGCAGCTTGAGGGCAGAAGGATGGGGAAAAGCAAGTATCAGGTCTGGGGGACCTGGACGAGCCCCGAAACTTTGTCACTGGTAGTGAAGGCAACCTCCGGGGTAACACCCCAGAGATGGCTTTTCCTGGGAAGGTTTGCATTCACAACATGTGGGCATCAGCAGTGCACCAGGCAGCTGAAATGGTGAAAGGAGAGAAATGCCATCCTTTGTGGCAGCTGCAGTCTGTGAAGAGGATTAGGTTGGGAGTAAAGAAATTCAGTGCCCTGGGGCTGGGGATTTAGCTCAGCGGCATAAGCGCCTGCCTTGCAAGCAGGCAGTCATGAGTTCGATCCCCAGTACCGATAAAAAAGAAAAAGACCAAAAAAAAAAAAAAAAAAAAAAAAAACTCAGTGCCCTCTGAAAAGGGCAGGCCCCTGCAATCCTTCCCTTCACCTCCACGAACACTCCTACAAAAATGATGAATGTTTCAAACATTGCCCCATGCTCTGGGCTTTCAGAAAGGTTCTAAGCAATGCATGCTCTTCTGCATTCAATTAAACAAGGCACCCCCAAAACTACCAGGACCCAGCCCCCGGAGAGCCCCAGAGGTTTGTTCAGTTTGCAGGCTTTACCAGCACCAATGTCTTCCTCGATTTCTGTCTCTCAGGTTTGCTAAAAGCTTGGCAGGAGTAGAAGCCACTGTGTAGGGGGACAGGACAGCCATGATTCATACCAGGTGTCACCTCCTTCATCCTGGCCCCCAGATAGATGCACCGGGCAGCACTGGTGATGAGCACAGAGCAAGCAGGGAACCTGAGACTCACAGAGGGGTTTCTCGCACTTGGATTTCTCTGGGTCTTCCCGCCAGGCACCGAGCTGCCTGCTGGGTTGAGATCACGGTGACTTAAGGCGAATGGTGGCACCGAGTCACCCTGCCTTGAGAAGGGCAGAGCCTTGCCGGGCCCATCTGAAATTCACTGTGAACAGGGGGTCCTCTGGGCCACTGGCCATGGCCAGAGAGAGAGGTCAGGAGAACTGGGTGCCTCTGCCTTGGTGCCCAGATCCTCAAGCTGCTATGGGGGAAGTCTCAAATTGAAGCAGCAGCAGCCTTGCTGTCCTTAGACGTCAGAAAATACGAAGCTGTTTCCTTCTCACTGATTTCTGCACTGAAGTGTTCGATTTGTTGTGTACCAGAGCCTTCAGTTTAGCTTTCTGAGTGACAGTCTGTTATGGATTAAGAACTGGTGGTCAACTTAACCCCAGCTGGATTACACCAGCATTACACTGAGCATAGATGCTCCACCTGAGGAAAGTTGCCAGCATAAATAGAGAGGTGGAGAAGGAGAAGGAAGGTGTTAATGCATTATTGCATTGAGGTATTGAGGCACTGTTGGTTCT